GTAATTAAATTATATGGCCTTGTGATTTCTTTATATATACATGCTTGATTTGATAAATTAGGGTTTGTATCGATGAATTCTTCCATTGAAATCTCCAATTGATTGTATGTCTATGTATGATTAATTAGGGATTTTATTCTTCATTAAATGATTAGAACTTAATTCTTTCATTAATTCTATATGTAATTTGCATGTCTATGTGTAATTGTTTTAGGATTATATTCTACATTAAATACTTCTTGTAGTTGTGTTTAGTGATGGCCATAACATGATACTTATTTGATACAATTGTCAATTAATTTGATGGATAAAGGCTTAATCTTGATGGGTTGTTCTACAAATTAGCTTTCTTGTTATTAGTTAATTGTAGTTAAGTAGGCAATTTGTGCTTGAGTATGTTAATCCATGCTTCTAATTACAATTAGTATTATTCTCTTGATTGATGTATGCTCTTATTTGATACATTTGTGAATGTGTATGGTGGGTTATGACGTAGTCTTGAATGGGTTCTACACTTTAGTTTAATTGTCATTAAGTAAACAACTCATTCTTGATGTTGATAATCTATGCTTACAATTGTGATTTGTAATGATAATGTGGCTACATCTATAATTACACTAATGAATTCCCCATTAATTGAAAGCATGTGGTTAATTGCATGAGCTTAGTGATGAATCCTAACCCTAAGACTCTCTTCATATCTCTTTAATTCTTAGTTTAATTTAGTTTAATTTACTTGCAATATCATTTCCATTTCCATACTTTCAATTGAACTCTAGTTTAATCACTCCACCAAAATCTTTTTCTCTCACACTCTTTCTCTCTCTTTTCTCTCATTTACAATCTAATTAACTTTAAAACCAAGTTTAATCCTAACACATGTTCAATCCCTTGGGTTCGATCCCTTCTCACTTCATACTACACAGTATAAGTGTCTAGCGGTTTATAAATGTAAACTATGATGCCCGCTTGATACCATTCCCAAAACCAAAGTGTGGTGCATTATTTTGTGCATACGCTCGGGTCGCATCATAATTTTGGCGTCGTTGCCGGGGATTGACGGTTTAGTTGGAATTGAATTAGGCATTAGGGTTAATTTGATTGTTTTCTTTAAATTACTATTTTCTTGCAAATCCCTCTTGTTCAATTAGGTACTTAAAAAGAAGAGGAGCAAGCATTGGATCTTGGCACCATTGTGACGTTGTTGCTAGGGACTTTCGTGAGCTTCTTGAATTTCTTTTACTATAATTGTTCAATTCTCTACATGCTTGCGAGATAGCCCTTGTTGAGGCTATCACATTGTTTAAATTCTTATCCAAGCATAAGCCCAAAAGGAAGCTATTGCTTTCTTGATAGAAAGCATCGACCCGTGTGGAGGCAATTTAATTTTATGTATTGATATAACATGGGAGTATGGGAACATCGTATATGGAGGTGGTGAATTATTGTTGATTGTTGTTGTGGTTTGTTGTTTCTATGAGAATTCTTCCCATTCTTGATTATCCTATATTTAATGGAAAACTAATTCTAAAATCTAGGGCATATGGATAATCTAGGTGAGTATCACCCTCTTAATGGGCATCCACCTCAAGGTGTGCATCCACCCTTGAGAATTCCACATCCTAATGTGTTTCCACAACCCAATCAAATGTAACAACCTCCAATAATACCAATCCATCCTCAAGATCATGTAGTGTATCCCCTAAATCCTCAATTATCTCTTCGGGATCACCACACTCCAAATGAATATAATGCACAAACATGCATCTAGTTGCCAAACTTTCGGGCAACCCATTATGAAATCAAGCCTGCAACCATCCAAATGTGCCCCATTTTCTATGGGGTGAGCAATGAAGAACCACATAAATATTTGGATGAGTTTTTGGAAGTTTGTTCAACCGTGAAAATCACGGACCTTCCGGAAGAAGTCTTAAAAATGAAGCTTTTCCCTTTCACTTTTCGGGAAAAGGCTAAATATTGGTTCAATAACTTGAGGGCAAATTCAATCACATCTTGGGCTCAATTACAATACGAATTCCTAAAAAAATTTTACCCCCAAGTAGAACCGATGCTATGAGAACTTCTATCCGTGAATTCTCCCAAAATGAGGGAGAACCTTTACATGAAGCATGGGAGCGTTTGAACGATTTGCTACGGAAGTGTCCACATCACGACATTCCTAAGTGGTAATTAGTTCGCTGCTTCTATGAAAGCTTATCCGATACCAAAAAAGGTATGGTTGATGCTTCATGTGGAGGAGCCTATTTGGATAAAAATGAAGACGATGTGTGGCATCTTTTTGATCGCATGAGCTAAATTTCAATGCATCGTTCTTCATTGTCCCGATTTGGCCAAAATTTGAATGAAGGAGGGAAGAAAACCTCCAGTCTTTCTCAAGTGGAGAGTTCCATGGAAATTGCCGCCGAAGTCAAAAATCTTACTCAAAGGTTTGATAAATTTCTTTCGAGCCAAAACCCGGCAATTCAATCATCCAACTCTTTCCATTCTCAAAGTGTGATGTGCATGACTTGCTCTAGTTATACTCACAATACTTTCAATTGTCCTCTTGGACAAGTTTTTCCGAGTAAGTATCAAGAACAAGTCAATGCTATTTTCATTCATCCGGGAAGTAATCCAAATTCTAACTCCTACAATTCCGGATGGAGTGATCCTCACTTCTCTTGAAGAAATCAAGAAGGAGGTAATATTCCTCCTCTTCATAAAAATTCTCAAGAAAAGTATACACTGCCCCACCTCCGAAATACAAAGTCTCAAGCATACCATTCTCCATCTTATCCTCTTCCAAATGTGAATCAATTCTCCAATTCTCATTCTTCAAATTATCAATCTTTTTCTCATCCACCTCAAGAGCCTCCTAGAAATCCCACTTTTGAGGATAAGGTTTTAAAAGCTTTGGGTGATCTTCGAAAGGAAAATCAAGTGTTTCATTCGCATTCTCAATCAATTGCAAAACTTGAAGCCCAAATTGGGCAAATGGTTCAAACAATGAAAGGGAAAGGGCCTATTCAACCCAAACTTAACCAAAAGGCATACTCCATTTCCACTTTGAGAAGTGGGAGAAAATTTGATAACAAAGTTGAGAGACCTAGTGAAGTTAGTGTTCCGGTGCAACCAAGTGTTAGCTCATTTACCATTCCCAATTCCATCCCTACTTCACTAGAGGCAAGTGGTCACATTGAGGAGCCAATTCCATCATCATCATCTTCCTCCCATGTAAAGAAGCCTTATAAGCCAAAAGCTCCATTTCCTCAAGCTTTAAACTCTACTTCATTTTTTAGGCAAGAAGGAAAAATCCATGACATGATGGAAGTTTTTAAACAAATTAAAATCAACCTTCCTCTTCTTGATGCTATTCGGCAAATTCCACCATATGCTAAGTTCTTAAAGGACTTGTGTACTCAAAAGAGGAAGAACAAGGGACCAAGCCCAAAGAAAGTGCGTCTCACGGAGCAAGTAAGCTATATCATTAAGCTTAACACCCCACCTAAGTTCAAAGACCCCGGTGTGCCAATCATCTCTTGTACCATAAGGAACCATGAGGTCAAAAGGGCTCTTCTTGACTTAGGGGCTAGTGTTAATGTTATTACCTACTCCGTGTATCTTCAATTAGGTTTGGTAAACCTTAAGCCAACTTCGGTAGTTATTCAACTTGCCGATAGGTCTACAAAACAACCAAGGGGAATTGTTGAGGACATCCTCATCAAAGTTGACAAATTCTATTTCCCGGTTGATTTTGTTGTGCTTGACACTGAGCCGGTTTCCGATCCTACCACTTACATTCCAATAATCTTAGGAAGACCATTCCTTGCCACTGCTAATGTGACAATCAATTGTAGGTCCGGCATTATGGACATATCTTTTGGCAATATGATGGTTAAGCTTAATGTGTTCAACACGAGCCAACATCCTATCAATGAAGGCGAGTGTTTCATGGTGAATGTCTTGGATGAAATTGTTGAAGAAGCTATTCCTTCCATTCATTCTATTCTTTCTGAAGATCCTCTTGAGGCATGCCTCTCTCACTTCAATATGGATGCATTTGACATTGAAAGCTCCATATATGAAGTGAATTCTCTAATGGACTCCGTGGCCATCTTAGACTTCCCGCCATGGAAAAACTCAAAAGAACCTCTTCTTCCAATCACAAGTACTCTTTCTTATCAAAAAGAGGAAGAAGTTGTAAGTTCACCAATGGCCAATCCAATTTATGAGGACATTCCTTGTAATATTGAGCATGAAGTCATTGAGGCTACCTTAGTGAATGAGAAGAAAATGATCAATGTGGCAGTTGACAAAAAGGATGAAGAGATTGAGTTTCCTAATAATCCAACCGAGTCTTTGAAAGACATTACCTTGCCAAGTGCAAGGCCGATCGTGATGGACTTTATTTTCAAGACCGTTGATGAAAGGGAACAAACTGCATCTTCCATCATTTCTTTCCAAATCATTCTTTTAGGAGATGTATTCATTGTTGTGAGAGAATATCCATTTGGGAAAATAGATAAATAGATTAACGAGGATGTGTCATATCCGATTTTTGATTCTTTTGACTAGTGAGTCGCCCCAACGTCTTGCTAGAGACGTTAAATACTAGTTGTATCGATTTTTCCTTCGTTGCATGTTAATTTACATTTTATTATTATTTTATTTTATTTTTTCTTTTTCCTTTTGTACATTTATGCATTTTTAAATTTTAAAAAAAAAAAGATTAAAACAAAAAAAAAAAAATTGTAAATAGGTAGTGTAGGTTGGTGTTTGATTTTATTTCTATTTTATTATTATTATTTTTATTATTTTTATATATATTTCATGTTAGTTTTGATTTATTCAAAAACATAAAAAAAATTAAAAAAAATTAAAAATTAAAAAAAAAAAGGAAAAAAAAAAAAGTACTAGTTAATATAGGTTGATAAGTGATTTTATTTCAATTTTATTTATTATTATTTTTTATCTATTTTTCATTTTAGTGTATATATTCTTCTTTTTTAAAAAAAAAAAAAAAAAAAAAAAAAAAAAAAAAAAAAGAAGATCGATCCCCAACATGGGTGGGAGATCGATCCCATTTTCTTGGCAGAGAGCAACAAAAAAATAGGCCAAGTGAATTGATCCCCCGTCCACGTGGATCGATCCCATTTTACTTGTATTTCCCCCTTCTCATTAAACAGTGAAGGGGACATTTTTTGCCTAAAATTGTCGATCCCCCATCAAAGCAGATCGATCGCCCCTTAGCCCTTGAAACCACGAATACATTCCTCTTCTCTGTTCCTTGAAATTTCTATTCCTCCCCATAAATTTCTTCACCCAATTTTCTTCCTGGCGTTCGAGTGGAATACGAACCGAAATCTCCCGTTGTTCTCTTGTTTTCTTCAACTCGTCGCATATGTTCGCTGTTCTTCGTCGAATCTGGGTCGTTCTTCGGCGATCAAGGCTGTTTCGGCCTTTATTTTTTCGACGTTGCGATCTCGGCTAGGACGCTGTTCTTTTCTGATCGCGTCTGTTCTGTTCTTCTTTGGTCGCACCATCTGATCGCCTTTCCGGCGATCAAATTTGTTCGTATTCCGGCGTCGGATATGGGTCACGGCTGCTTCATATTCCGGCAATTTTGACTAGGCTTGTGCAGCGATTCGCGGCTGGTTCTTCTCACATCGCAACTGGATTGCGGGTCTTTCCGGCCAGAATGCGAAACGTCGTTCTCCAGCGATTTTAGCTGGATTTCGACTGGTTCTGTTTCAGATCTCGGTTGGGTGCGATTGGGGAAGTTGGGTTGCCGATTTGGTAGGTTGTAGGTCTGAAAAAAATTCCGGCGCCGTTTGTTTCGCCTTTTATTTTCCAGCGCTGGCTGGGTTCTCTGTCGCGGCAGCTCTTTCCGGCCATTCCGGCTGGGCTTAAATTCCGGCGCTATTTGAGACTCGCCCTTTATTTTTCCGGTGTTGTAACTGGCTGTTCCCTCCAGCGATTTTGGCTGGATTTTGATTTGGTTTCTTCAACGATTCTAGCGGCTTTTGACTGGGTTTTCTCCGGCGAGTATGTGGGTAAGTGCTGATTTTGTGATTTTGGCAAGTTTGTGGGTTGTTAATTGGGTTCCAGATTCCACTGTTTTAAAAGAATTTGCATTGATGTTTTAAAAAAAAAAAAAATTTGGATTAATATTAAAAAAAAAAAAAAAATTACATTGATGACTTAAAAAAAAAATAGTTGAATTGTTGTTAAAAAAAAAGTGCATAAAAATTTGAATTGATGATTTAAAAAAAAATTTGTCATTGGAGCAGGTTTATTGAATTTGGACTACTTCCCATATATTTCAATCTTTAAGAAATGACTCGTGTTTCTTCTTCCAGACGTTTCAAACCCTCTAAAGAAACTCCCAAAGCTATGTGGCGCAACACACGTCTGGATTTTGAGACTACCTTCGACATTGAAGGTACGTTTCGCCACAATGACACGACTGAATGGGCAGTGTTAGAATTTGAAATGAGGCATTTGTCCTGCCTTTTTAGACCAGTTACAGAGGTTGCCTATCCAAGTATTATGCGCCTGTTTTATCAGAATATGGAATGGTTTAGTGATGCGCCGGACATATTAGCTACAACCATTGATGGTGTCCGAATTCACTTTGGTGTCTTGGACATAGCCCAGGCATTGGGGTGTCCACATTTGTGCCCCACTGACTTGCTAGCAGAGAATGGGGAGCTACGTTTTGGCAAATTCTCGAAAAAACCTACTGTGCATTAAATTGTTAAAGATATGTGTGACGGGAAGTATGGTGACAAGAAGAAGAAGAATTGTGCCAGCAAGTCCTCACTACCTAAGGATATGTGGTTTTTCGATCAGGTTCTGAAACGGAATGTTTTTCCAATAGGTCATAAGGTACAGCGGGGATAAGAGTTCTTAATAGCGTTATATGCTACCCACACTGGAGCATGGTTTTCTGTTCCAGCTTTTGTCTTTAACCAAATGCATAAATATTGGAAGCATTTAGTGGTGAGTGGGGATCCGAATGCGAAAAAATGGAAACTTCCGTTTCCGTATCTTATTACCCAGCTCCTTGTCCTTCGGCGCTTCGTGGTTGATAATGATGAGATCTCTGAGGCTCCACGGGTGACTTTTAGGCTAGCACAGTGGAACTTAAGCCTTTCTCATATGCCTAGTGCCAAGAAGGAAGGTGATGGCATGGTAGCAGGTGCTAGAGAGGACGTGAATGCCCTGGTTGAGGACGTCGTTGGGAGGTCTGAGGAGCAGATTGCTGATGGTGCTACTTATGAGATAGCACAGGCTGTGTCACCACATGCAGAGGAGTCTGCAGGGGTGACTAGGGCAGAGTTCAATGCCATTATGGGGCAGTTGAGGACCGAGTTAGCTGAATCTCGAGAGCAGCATCGAGTCGAGCATGTTGAGCTTATACAGCAGCACACCACTACCCAGCGCATGCTACGAGATCTATATGAGATTGTTTCATCGAGTCTCCCACGCACTTCCACATTACCACCTGATGCATGATTTCTTTTGTCTATTTTATGCTGTTCAGATATTTCTATTTTAGGTGGATGGGATTTTATGTGGCTATAGCCAGATTTTTGTGATTTAGAGCTGGCTATTTTGAGAACTTGTAATTCTAGGTTTTGATGATATATTTTGGTTTAATTCATCCATATACATATATGATTGTTTTTGGCTTTGTTATTCATATTCATTTAAAAAAAAAAAAAACAAAACAAAAAAAAAACAAAACAATAATAAATAAATAAAATAAAAAAAAACATAAAAAAATAAAAATTGCAAAGTATCATTCCGTCTTGCTAAAGACGTTAAACTTAGCCCATTTTTCTTATTTTTGTTTATTTACTTTATTTTGTTGGTTGTATATACATGTTCTTTTCCTTTGTTTCTTTAAAAAAAAAAAAAAATGTGTTACCAGTATGCCCTTATGCTTGGTTATGACTATTTTTATCTTTTATCAAGGGCATTCATCTCATATTTCTTTGCCTCTTATTATATATTGTTTTGAACTGTATGCATTGCTTATTTCATATGTATTTGATGTGAGTTTGCTAGTATGGTTATACAGCTAGGTTTTTGCATCCAAGTTTGGGGGAGACATCTTTCCTACTGGATCATTGCCGGACTTCATAGTCTTTGCCATTACGGTATACTCTTTCCATCATTTTTCATTGTTCTCATTGCATATTGAGGACAATGTACAGTTTAAGTTTGGGGGTAAGGTCATCATGATTCATTCTATTTAAGTTAAGCTTTAAATGCATGATGAGATTTGAGATGTGTTTGGCAATGATTTTGAACTTTTGAAACATAGTGCCATTGGAAAGCAAGTTGTTAGAGTCTAATACTTCTTGTATGCTCTAGGATGCCATTTAGGGGAAAATTTTAATTTTTGACATCATGTTTGTTTTTGTGGTACACATCATCTTGTTGGTTGAAAATGCTTTAAAAGTTGATTCTAGAATTCTACACTTGTACTTGCGCACACTAGCATTCAATTTGTGTGGTACATGCTTAGTTGATTATTGTCTTGGTTTATCCCAATTGAGCTAGTATGCTTTGAAAGCTTTCATTCTTGATAAAATGACCTTGCAAAGAAAAGAAATAAAAGCACTCACCAAAAGTGAGGAATAAAAAATAAAAAATAAAAAATAAAAAAACTGCATTCTTTCAACATGTCAACTGATTAAAAAGGAAAACAAGGGAAGAATGTAAGATGTATGATTAGTTTGAGTTCGTAACCTAACCATTCCGAGTCATTACACCCTTAGGAGTGTCTTTACACTTAACGCCCTAAGACCATCTAGTTTGGAAGTCGTTGGCTCAACGTTTGTTACATGGGGTGATTAGAGAGCGTAAGGAACTTGGACATTGCACATGGTCATACATAAAATAAAAATAATAAATAAATGAAATCAATAAAAAAAAAGTATGTTTGATTGAATAACAAGGTTCATTCAATGTCTTGAGGATTGGTACTATATCTGTATGCTAGTTTGAGGGTAAGGCTACGCCATTACTTTGATTTGCTAGGATAGCAACACATTTTGATGCTGGTTCACTCAAAAAAAATGATAGAATTGATTCAATTTGCATGATTAATTGCTTGATGTGTGGAGGACCATTCTTGCTTACATGATGTTGAAATATTGAGAATAGCTTAGAAATGGCAGAATTTGTATACTTGAGGTAGTCTACTTTCAACACTTGTTTAATATATGTCGTTGCTTCTCAAGTAAGAAAGAGCTTTTGATGTTTGTGGGTACCATTTCTGAAAACCCTCACGAGACTTCACTCGTCCACTAGGGGTAACCTAGGGGTTTAAAAGGCTTGTTACATATGCTAAATACAACTGTGATCCCTACGAAAGTGGTGTTATCTTTATTTGTTTTATTAGTTCATAGTTCTATATATGTTTATTTCATTTTCATGCTATAGTTCATTGCTAGGGACTAGCAATATCTAAGTTTGGGGGAGTGATAACTGCTTAAATGTTGCACATTTCAGCACTTAAGCTAGGGTATTTCAGTCTTTACATCTATCTTAATTTTCATGTTTTAGTCCTAATTTATGTTTATGTATATTTCAGGGTAATAAAGTTAAAATGAGCTAATTTTGGTTCACTAAAGCCTTTTTGGAGTCAAGCAAAGATATTTAGAAAAGCTCAGAAAATGACAAAAAGGAGGTCGCAGCCCATTGCTCGTATAGTGTGTTTATTCTTCAAAAGCGGTCAATCTCAGACCTTTGATGATATTCCCAAAGATGAAGAAGCAAACCAATGAGCTCGGGGCCAAAATGGAGCTAAATAGGGCTTAAAGGAAATTTCCAACTCTGCGGGATCAATCCCCTAGGGTAGGGGATCGATCCCCCAGGACTTGGCAACATTATAGGATTTTCTTATTGTTTGGGCTTATTTTGTGAACTATTGGGCTTTAATAGGGTTATTACTTAAGGCCCAGTAAACCATTAGTTGAGAGTTAGTTTTTATTTTATTTAGGAGAGAGTTTTATTATTTTTAATTATTAAGTTTTATTTTTCTGTACAGTGATATTACGTTCTCTCTGGGGAAAAAGGAAAAGCTAGGGTTTGAAAAATATTTTTACAGAGACTTTGTCTACAATTGAAGGTAGAAGAAGAAGGAGCCAAAAGATGGAGATGGAGCTTGTTGACACCATGATCATCTTCCTCATGAGCTAGTTCTTCACTTAGGGCTTGGATGAGCCCTAAGTTCATGTAACCCTAACCTTTGTATTTCTTTTCTTGGGGAATTATTATGTTGTAATTAAATTATATGGCCTTGTGATTTCTTTATATATACATGCTTGATTTGATAAATTAGGGTTTGTATTGATGAATTCTTCCATTGAAATCTCCAATTGATTTTATGTCTATGTATGATTAATTAGGGATTTTATTCTTCATTAGATGATTAGAACTTAATTCTTTCATTAATTCTTTATGTAATTTTCATGTCTATGTGTGATTGCTTTAGGATTATATTCTACATTAAATACTTCTTGTAGTTGTGTTTAGTGATAGCCATAGCATGATACTTATTTGATACAATTGTCAATTAATTTGATGGATAAAGGCTTAATTTTGATGGGTTGTTCTACAAATTAGCTTTCTTATTATTAGTTAATTGTAGTTAAGTAGGCAATTTGTGCTTGATTATGTTAATCCACGCTTCTAATTACAATTAGTATTATTCTATTGATTGATGTGTGCTCTTATTTGATACATTTGTGAATGTGTATGGTGGGTTATGACGTAGTCTTGAATAGGTTCTACACTTTAGTTTAATTGTCATTAAGTAAACAACTCATTCTTGATGTTAATAATCTATGCTTACAATTGTGATTTGTGATGATAATGTGGCTACATCTATAATTACACTAATGAATTCCCCATTAATTAAAAGCATGTGGTTAATTGCATGAGCTTAGTGGTGAATCCTAACCCTAAGACTCTCTTCATATCTCTTTAATTCTTAGTTTAATTTAATTTAATTTACTTGCAATATCATTTCCATTTCCATGCTTTCAATTGAACTCTAGTTTAATCACTCCACCAAAATCTTTTTCTCTCACACTCTTTCTTTCTCTTTTCTCTCTTTTACAATCTAATTAACTTTAAAACCAAGTTTAATCCCAACACGTGTTCAATCCCTTGGGTTCGATCCCTTCTCACTTCATACTACATAGTATAAGTGTCTAGCGGTTTATAAATGTAAACTATGATGCCCGCTTGATACCATTTCCAAAACCAAAGTCTGGTGCATTATTTTGTGCACACGCTCGGGTCGCATCACTGATGTGTGAGGTTCTCTCAAGGGCTAAAATGAAGAAGGCATTTTAGTGAGATTAACAAATAATTTGAGCTAAAATGGAGCACTGAAATCAACCAAAAGAAGCACAAAAGTTGTGATGTACATAAAGGTTATGTAAAGGCTATTTTGCTGGTGCAAAGAGGAGTTTGAAGGAGTTCAAAATTGCTATGGTCATTTCTGGAGCTTGAACAAGCTATGAGCAACAATATATTGATGTTATACAAGTGCTAAAGGTACTTGAAACTTCATCTTGCAGCTGGTATACATTTTCATCTCTCAAACCTCAAGTTTTACTTGATTTTCTGAACAATGCTTCTGAAACCGAGCTTATCATGTTATAATCATGCAATAATCTGAATTTCTATTATCTGAGCATGATTGTATTGATGTTTAGAAGCTGGTGAAGTTGAGTCTTTACCAGAAATTTGGCTTGCTCTTATTTTGACTTACTAAACCACACAGTTTTAGGTTTTTAAGTTTTAAAAGGCCTGCTATGTGTGTTGTGATTGCAATACCTGTGTGTATTTGCTATTTTCTACATTTGAGAATATCTATACAATTAATATATACTTGAGAGAGTCAAAATCTAAAGTCTTGTAGAGGTGTAGTGCTGTTGTAGAAAACTGTTGAGTTGCTGATCTTTGAATTGTAATTTGTTATCTACTTGCTACAAACTGAGAAATGGTGGGCTGAGCAAGTGTAATATGATGAAGGAAAATTATGGGAACTATACTCAAGAAAGTCCAGCCACGAACTGACATTTTTACCCTTGAAAACTGAAAGTTACAGGTGCAGCAAATTGGACCTGCTGTAAACTTCTAAAAAGTTGTTGTTTGTTTTTCATAGCTGTGTTCTTGTGTGTATACTGTGCCCTAGCTGTAGAACAAGTGTGAAACATCATTTTCAAGCTGTGGGAGCCCTTGGTGGTTGAAGAATTGAAGCATCTTAAGGCTGTGTTTGACAAACTGAGATTTGGGGTTTTTAACCTTAATAATACTGTTGTGAGGTTAAATCATATCATACCTTGCTATGTAATTTGTTCTAAATATATAAGCAAGTGTATTTAGCCTATTGAAGAATGGGCGAGTATAGTTTGGGGTGCTCTTGAAACTTGATGAGAGCTGAAAAGTACACATTTAAACCCCTTAAGCTTGAGTATTCTAGGACCTTTATCTATCTTATTTATCCGTTTTAGTACTTATTTGTGTTTTTATCTATTTCAGGTCAATAATGTTAAAATGGGCTAAAAATGAGTTCTTAAGGCCTTTTTGGAGTCAAACTAAGTCTTAGCGATGATCCGGAGCAAAAAGAGGCTGATTTGGAGCAAAAAGAAGCTGATACTGAAAAGTTGAAAAGTTGGATGGATCGCAGAAAAAGTTGGATTGATCGAACTGGACATGTTGGCAGCAAGCTGTCACTTTTTCCGTGCGTGCCCAAAAGTTCACCTACCAAAAAGTTGCGGGATTAGATATTTTTGGGCATATATTCTAGACTTAGTGACTAAGAAAATGACCTTCTATATAAAGGGAAGCAACCCATTTGTAAAAGGGGATTTTTAGGCTTTTTATCATTTTATTTTCTACATTGTAATTTTTATTTCTCTCTCTAGAAAAGTTAGAGATTAGGGTTAGAAGAAAAGAAAGAAGTGGAGGCACATCTCAAGAACACATCTCTAAATCCACTATCTCTCCATCTCTAGAGCTTCAAAGAAGAAGAAGAAGAAGAGGAAGAAGAAGATGGAGCCATGTTTGGAGCTTGATTCCATGACTACATCCACCTCCTCCATGATTGACTAGATCTACACTTAGGGCTTGGATGAGCCCTAAGTCTTGTGTAATCTAAACCCTTGTATTTCTATTTTTGGGGATTTTTATATATATTGTTGTGATTAGTGTTCTAGCCTTGTGAATTTCATGAATCTTGGTATATTTCTATGATTTCCATGGTCTAATTCTTCCTATTAATTCTCTAGTTTATTTACATGTCTATGTGTGATTAAATTAGGAATTATGTCTCACATGATTCATATGGGTTAATTCTTCCATTGATTCTCTATTTTAATTACATGTTGTCTTATGTGTGATTATTTGGGGAATTGATCTCTACACTAGTTTTTCTATATTAATTGCATGTTTATGTGTGGTTAATTGAGAATCTAGTGATGGCTAGACATTAGTACTTAATGGAATGCTCTTGTTATGTCTCTTAATGGTTCATACTTATTCCTTGATGGATTGTACCTCTCCCTTAGTTTATTTTCATGCTAGTAGTGTAGTTGTAGTGTAGTGTTAGATGGGGGAGACAATTCATGCTTGTTCTTTGATGTTCCATGTTTTTGAATGCAAGAAGCATATGCTCTAATATTGTGGTGTAATGGAATTTTGAGCTTAATGAAGGATTAATGACTTGTTATGATATATTGTATCTTTCACATGTGTTTAGACAATATATTCCTCTCCCAATAGATATATTGTGGCCTCTCACATGATGTTTAGACAATATATGTTTAACTAAGTCATCCTTGTGAATTATTTGGACTATGAGCTTAATGAAAGGTTTAATGACTTGATTTGATATTTTGTTCTCTTCACATGCTGTCTAGACAATATATTCCTCTTCCAATAGATATATTGTACCCTTTCACATGTTGTTTAGACGTTATACACTTATTGAGTCACCTTTGCTAGTCGAACCAATTTTGTTCACAACAATGTATTCCCCATTAATGGAAAGCAAATGGTTAATTACGCAAGCTTAGTGGTGATTCCAACACCCTAAGTCCTCTCTTCTCATCTCTTAAATCCCTATCTCTACTTAGTTTTATTTTTATTGCATTTTAATTAATTCTTTTCTAGAAGCAATCAACCAACCCAACTCTCTTTTGCAATCATTTGGTACGCTAGAGTCGAAGTTGAAATTCCAACACGTATAATCCCTTGGGACGATCCCTACTCACTCTTGCTACGTTATTAGTGGTGTTGGTAGTGGTTTTTTTAAATTTAAATTTGACATAAAAGGCTTTTCTTGAACCACACATTCACTACATTTAGTTTGGCGTATTGGAACGGCCGTCGTCAAAGCTGAATTACAAAGTTACCTTTGTGAGCTTAAAAGCTAGGGTTTGTTGACACTAAGGCTGCTTGGGAGTGTTTAT